AACAAACTTAGGAATACACTTAACCAAGGAGGTGAAAGACCTCTTTAAGGACAACTACAAAAACATTGCTGAAAGAAATCATAGACGACACAAACAAATGGAAACACATCCCATGCTCATGGATGGGTAGAATCAATACTGTTAAAATGACCATACTGCCAAAAGGAATCTACAAATTCAATGCAATTCCCTTCAAAATACCACCATCATTCTTCACAGAACTAGAAATAACAATCCTAAAATTCATACAGAACCAAAAAAGAGCCTGCATAGCCAAAGCAAGACTAGCAAAAAGAAGGAATCTGGAGGCATTACATTACCCAACTTCAAACTATACTGCAAGGCCATAAACACCAAAACAGCATGGTACTTGTATAAAGATTTACATATGGACCAATGGAACAGAAAAGAGAACTCAGAAATAAAGTCAAATACTTACAGCCAACTGATCTTTGACAAAACAAACAAAAACATAAAGTGGGGGAAAGAACACCCTATTTAACAAATGGTGCTGGGATAACTGGCAAGCCACATGTAGAAGAATGAAACTGGATCCTCATCTCTCACCCTATACAAAAATCAACTCAAGATGGATCAAACCTGAAACCATAAAAATTCTAGAAGAAAACACTGGAAAAACCTTTTAGACATTGGCTTAGGCAAAGACTTCATGACCAAGAACCCAAAGCAAATGCAACAAAAACAAAGATAAATAGATGGGACTTAATTAAACTGAAAAGTTTCTGCACAGCAAAAGAAATAATCAGGAGAGTAAGCAGACAACCCACAGAGTGGGAGAAAATCCTCACAATCTATACATCTGACAAAGGACTAATATCCAGAATCTACAAGGAACTCAAATCAGTGAGGACAAAATAAATAGTTCCATCAAAAAAGAGGCTAAGGAAATGAATAGACAATGCTCAAAAGATATACAAGTGGCCAACAAACATGAAAAATGCTCAACATCACTAATTATCAGGGAAATGCAAATCCAAATCACAAAGCAATACCACTTAACTCTTGCAAGAATAGCCATAATGAAAAAAATTAAAAAAAAAATAGATGTTGACATGGATGTGGTGAAAAGGAAACACTTTTTCACTGTTGGTGGGAATGTAAACTAGTACAACCACTATGGAAAACAGTGTGGAGAGTCCCTAAAGAACTAAAAGTAAATTTGTTCCACTAATCCCACTTCTGGGTATCTACCTGGCGGGAAAGAATTTATTATACGAAAAAGATACTTGCATGTGCATGTTTATAGCAGCACAGTTTGCAATTTGCAATTGCAAAAATATGAAACCAGCTCAAATGCTGATCAATATATGAGTGGATAAAGAAAATGGTGGATAAAGTGGTACACACACACACACACACACACACACACACGCTACTCAGTCATAAAAAGAAATGAAATAATGGCATTTGCATTTGCAGCAACCTGGATGGAACTGGAGACCATTATTCTAAGTGCAGTAACAGAGGAATGGAAAACCAAACATCATATCATTATATGTTCTCACTCATAAGTGGGAGCTAAGCTATGAGGACACCAAGGCATAAGAATGACACGATGGATTTGGGGACTTGGGGAAAGGATGGGAGGGTGAAAAATAGATAAAAGTATATAAAAAGACTGCATATTGGGTACAATGTACACTGTTTGGGTGATAGGTACAGCAAAATCTCAGAAATTACGCTAAAGAGCTTATTCTTGTAACCAAACACCACTAGTTCCCTCAAAACCTATGGAAATAAAAATTTAAAAAATTATAATAATAATAAAGACAAGACACACAGACCAATGGAACCAAATAGAAAACTCAGAAATAAGACTGCACACCTACAACCATCTGGTCTTGGACAAACCTGACAAAAATAAGCCAAGGAGAAAGAATTACTTATTTAATAAGTGGTGGTGGGAGAACTGGCTAGCCATATGCAGAAAACTGAAACCGGACCCCTTCTTTACATCATAAGGAAAAATTAACTTAAGATGGATTAAAGACTTAAATGTAGAAAACCAAAACTATAAAAAGCTAGAAGAGTATTTCTCATCTTCCTTACCACTTCCCAGACAGTTTTGCCCAGCGTGGTAGCCAGTGATAATATCTGCTGGCAGTATTAATTGGGCTAGGAACATTATTATTTTTGTCAATTAAAATAATAGACTTTGGGAGGCTGAGGTGGGCGGATCACGAGGTCAGGAGATCAAGAGTATCCTGCCTAATGCAGTGAAACCCCGTCTCTACTAAAAATACAAAAATTAGTCGGGCGTGGTGGCGGGCGCCTGTAGTACCAGCTACTCAGGAGGCTGAGGCAGGAGAATCACTTGAACCCAGGAGGTGAAGCTTTCAGTGAGCCGAGATTGAGCCATTGTGCTCCAGCCTGGGCGATAGAGCGAGACTCCACCTCAAAAAAAAAAAAAAAAAAAAAAAAGAATGTAAATTTCTACATTCTGAAAATTTTCTATCCAACATACTTCCCAAGGTGGATTCACTCGGCGTGATAAGGGGTGTGTGTGGAGTCCCCAGTTTACATGATCTTTACACACACATTTACGTTATTGGATGCTTATAAGTCATCATTTCATTGTGCTTAAAGAGGAAACTGTAGCCCAGAGAGATTAAGTAAATTTTAAAATTCCACAACTGGTAATGGTGTACCTGGGTTCCTAAAGTCACGAGAGAGAATTATGAGAGTATACCGGAAACCCCAAAGGTACTGAAGCCAGGAACTGGTAAGATCACTGATCTCTGAGGAGTGAAAATGAGGGGTGAGGTAAAAGGAAGGGAAGGAGACTTTATTTTCAATTTTTAAAAACCATGTACTGGAAGTTTTATTCTCTGCACTCCTGTCTTTGATAATTTAGGGAGAATTCGGGCTTGGGCAAATACCCAGGAGACTCACCAATGGCAGGATAAGACAAAGACAGAGGTGAGCATGAGGAGTCCTATGGGGACACAGAGAGTGCATCCTTAATTCTCTATCAGTGACGGAAGTTGGAAGCAGGGTGGGAAGATGCTTCCCAGAAGGGAAGCCCAGAAGGGAACTAAGAGTTGCTGGGAGGAGGGCTTCAAGGAGGTGCTGGTGGATGAGTCACGTTGTGAAGGCTGTTTGGGGTGTTGCAAGGAGTGACTGTGTTGGGCTGGATGAAAAAGGGAGGCTGTGGTTGTAGATGGAGAAGGTGCTGGAGGGGAAGGCAGGCCCAGGTTGTGAAGAGCCTTGTGGGATGAGCTGGGGAGCCTGGGTTTCATCCTAGAGGTGGTGTGGGGTTTTTCAACAATTTTGAGCAGTGAAACTCGTGACCAGATTTGCATTCTTCTGAAACCAGGCCCCACTCTGTGATCCTGGCGTGTCTTCCCAGACACCCAGGACTATCACAGTCACCATTGCAGCAAGGTAGTGTTTTCCTGCACACTAGTATCACCTTGCTCATGTGTTTATTTATATTTAAAAAAATATTGGTTTGTTGGTGTCAGAGACAATTCTCCATGGATCTCTTGCATTTTTGCCAGCCTGGCAGTGAGGCATTGACTGTCTTTTTGTTCAACTCTCTTTCCAAGGATGTTTGTGTAGTGAACCACCTTGGAAGATAGAGGTTAGGTTTCCCTTTAGAGCAAAGAATAGGTGTTTACTGTCCTGTATAAAAAGGATACTCTCTTCCTTCAGGACAAAGTGCAGGGAGGCTTACTTAAACAAGGAAATAAAATAATAATCTTACATTATGAAATATTGGAATTTCCTAACTTTGAGACTCATTTCCTGTAATGCAACTTATTGTGTCAGCATTACCTGCACCTCCTCCCATTACTCTGAGGGAACTGGGGCTCAGGGAAGAGGTGTTCTGAAAAGAGGTCCTGATGCAGACCCCAAGAGAGGGTTTTTGGATCTCCTGCATAAAGAATTGGAGGTGAATCCATAGAGTAAAGTGAAAGCAAGTTTTTTAGGAAAGTAAAGGAATAAAGAATGGCTACCAGACAGAGCAGCCCTGGGGGCCTCTAATTGCCCCCTTTTATGGTTATTTCTTGATTATATGCTGAACAAGGGGAGGATAATTTATGCCTCTCCTATTTAGACCACATAGGAGAGTCACCTATAACTCTCCTGACTTTGTTGTGGCATTTGTAATCTGTCATGGCGCTTGTGGGAGTGTAGCAGTGACAATGACCAGAGGTCACTCTCATTGCCATCTTGGTTTTGTTGGGTTTTAGCCAGTTTCTTTCTTTCTTTCTTTCCTTCCGTCCTTCCTTCCTTCCCTCCTTCCTTCCTTCCTTTTTGTCTATCTTTCTTTTTGAGCCAGAGTCTCGCTCTGTCACCCAGGCTGGAGTGCAGTGGCTCAATCTTGGCTCACTGCAACCTCTGTCTCCCAGGTTCAAGCGATTCTCTTGCCTCAGCTTCCTGACTAGCTGGGATTACAGGCACACGCCCCCACACCTGGCTAACTTTTGTATTTTTAGTAGAGATGAGGTTTCACCCTGCTGGCCAGGCTGGGTCTCGAACTCCTGACCTCAGGTGACCCGTCTGCCTTGGCTTCCCAAAGTGCTGGGATTACAGGTGTGAGCCACCATGCCTGGTCATTTCTGCCATCTTTAACTTCCATTTATATTTGCCTATGTGTTTGACAGGGTGAATTTCTCATCCCACTCAAGGTTTTGATTGTTCTGATATTGCAAGTATGATTTCCTTAATGGTGAGAAGAGCTGAGCCTCCCTCATGTTTATTATATTAGATCCTATGCACAGGGAGTAGTTGTCCCATCAAGGTATGTAGGAGGCTGAAATCTCAGCTTAGCAGAGTGGGCGGCAGCTGGCATCTGCATGTTCATCAGGGTAAACTGGTTTCATTACACCATTGTGCTCTGCAAAATTGCCATAAGTTATCATATCCCACCACCAGGCACAACTGTTTGAAGGGATGGACCCATCCCAGGTAGTAGAAATATAAGTCTTGCTTTAGTTTGCCCAAGGGTTAGTCCAATTGGCAGAGCTACTCACTCATCACTTAGACCAACACCCAGACCCATTCATCATGGCAGAAATGGCACACAGAAGGAAGCCTCAGCTGTATGACGAGCAGTCACGGCGTATATTCTGAAGGGGAGGAGGTAAAGGCTGGAAGACGCAGTGCAATTTGGTCTACTTCACACAGGCATGAGTTGGGAACCCAGATTTGTCCAAAAGCTGCACCCAGGGCCTCTCTTCCATTTTCTGAGGCTCCTCTGTATTGAAAAATAAAGAAAGGCAAACCAGGGTTACTAAAATCATGGTTTATTTTAAATGCCCACATTTAAACAATTGATGTAATTAGCACAAAAATACACATAATGTTTTGGAGTTGTTTAAAGGATTTGCAGAATTATGAATTAGTGGTGCCCTGCAGGGAGAGCTGAGTGGCAATGAGACAAGCATATGGTCATAGAATGGACTCTGCCCCAGCCCACTGGGATCTTTCTGCAATGGCAGTATTTATCTCATTCAGAGAAGGATAATAGTAACCCTTGGAGGGTGTGAGGTCTGAACCAGGTGATCCTCACTGCTCGGATCATCTGTGACAGGGTCAGTTGCAGCTTGGAAATAACAAACCTGGGAGGATCCAGAGAGACTGGAACCAAGACGGCGTTTCTGGAACCCAGAGCTCTCCCAGAACCTGCTGACCTCAGGTCATATTTCAGAAATGTTTTCCAGATGAGGAGATATTGGAGAACCTTGGGGCATGATCAGGAATCCCGAGGGTCTGTCCTAAAGCAGCAGCGTTGTTATTTTCTAGAACTGTGCTGTCCAGTATCAAAGCCACTAGGCACATATGACTATTTAGATTAGTTCAAATTAAAGAAAATTTAAGACTTAGTTCCTCATTTTCACTAATCACAGCCACTTTCAGCCTTCACTTCTTTCCAGTGGAGGCCCCAGGAATAACGGAGCAGAAACACATCATTTCTACTGTGCCCTGTCCAAACTCCTGACCCAAGAAATCCATGAAAATAGCAAAATAGTTGTTTATGCCACTGCATTTGCAGTGGTTTCTAATGAGGCAATATATCATTAGCATAGAAATTGGTATGTGGCCATGAGGTGCTGCTATAACAAACAGACCTCAGACGTGTGGTTTTAGCTTGGGTCTGGGTGGTAGTCAGACACCAGAAGATCCTGGTGAAGAAAGTTCATGAAGGCTGGAAGGGTCTCAATTGGCTCTTGGTGAAAGCTGGGAGGATGGGAGAAATTGTCATTAGAATCTGATAAAAAATGCATTTCTTACTATATACTACCAGAATTTTTGGTAACAATGACACTTGTGGTAACACTGAAAATAGTAAATATTCCTAATGAACCTATGGATTTGGCTAAGGATACTGCTAGGCAGAATAACATGTGTAACAATTGCTTTCTTTCAGCCACCACAATCAGAACAGAGATATAAGGTATAAAAAATAGAGAAAATGTCCAGCTTTTGAGCAAATTTTAGAGGACATATAAAGAAGTACCAGGATATGCTGGGTTCAAGAATGAAAGAGTTTGTAATTCCTGTCTCTCCAAGTGGCAAGATCTCAAATTTTAAAAAGCCTCTTGGGAAAGGTCAAATCCAAGGTGAGATTGTTGGTTTGTTTTGCCTTGTGCGTGTGTTTTTTTAAAGCTCTGAGATAAATCCAAGTTTATGTGTCATAGTCTCTCAGCCAAAACAAAATTAAATCCAACTATCTTAAGGGCATGTCTCCTAGGCCCTCCCTGTCAAACAATGGGGCTTCTCAAAATCTTAAGATAATTGTCCTCACAGGAGGCTCAAATTTGAGAGGTGGTCTTGGTAGTGATCTATGTAGAAAAACATTTGAAGAGCTCACTGTTGATAAATTTCCAACATCTATGAAACACATCACTCCAAAGATTTGAGGAGCTGTTTTTGAAAATAGGATTATTTTGCAAGTAGGACTTACTATTTGTAACAATGTTATGTTTATCCTCACCATTGTATTTTACTACATTGGATTTTATTTAATTTCAGCCATATGTGGAAAAGGCCAGATGTAGTTCAGTCCGTCTTGGTTGGTTGAAAGAAATACTGAATGCGTAGATACTGGCTTAGAAAGAAATAATAGCATTAGATCTTGCCATGCATCTTTATGGGGAATAGGTGAGTGGTTTTTGTCATTGTCATTGGTGTAGACAAATTATAAAAAGCAGGGGAACTTTGACTTGACAAGAGCCTCCTGACGTGGGAGGTTTTCACAAATTCATAGATGTGCAAATTGTTTTTAAACATATAAGGAAGAAAGTCACTTGCCTTCCTGTAGTTTGGCTTCATGTCTCTCCCTCAAGTATACCAAATCAGATTTGGTAGAATTTTCAAATATATTTTCCAACTTTTTGGGTTTATGCATCTTATACTTAAACTGCTCTTAAAAATAAAGTTGGATCAATGTAAATATCTTTAGAAGAAAATAATTGGTAAACATGAAGACATTTCTTTGTTGTTGTTGTTGAGACAATGTCTCTGTCGCCCAGGCTGGAGTGCAGTGGTGCGATCTCAGCTCACTGCAACCTCCGCCTCCCAGGATCAACCGATCCTGCCACCTCAGCCTCCCCAGTAACTGGGACTACAGACATGCACCACCACATTCAGCTAACTTTGGTACGTTTTGTAGAGATGGGGTTTTGGCATGTTTCCCAGGCTGGTCTCAAACTCCTGGGCTTAAGCAATCCGCTGGCCTCAGCCTCCTAAACTGCGTGAGCTACTGTGCCCAGCCAAGGCATTTCTAAACACATGGAAATAGCACATATGCTCAAAAGACTGAACCGTCATTAAAACCATTACCTCTTTATCTCTCTCATTGCATTTGGTTTTGAAAGAAAAGATCTTGGTTTATCCATCCACCGTCCAAAATTCAAATTTGCTTTATTTATGATATTTTCTGACAATAAACTCTTCTGACAAGAAAAGTGATGTGCATATATGTTCAAACTCTGATGCCCTGACATTGAAATAATACTCCCTCGAATAGTAAATATTTTCATGGGACTGGGGTAAACCCCCCCCCCAAAAAAGGAGAAAACTTTCATCAAAAAATAGCACAACTTGTAAAGGGAAATTCTGGTAAAATGTCATGAACTGAAACCACCACGAGGTAAGTCCATATGTGCATTTAAGACTGTATATTTCCCTCTATGCTCCTCTTTTAGTTGTATCACACAGGTTGTATTCTGGTGTATATTCATCATGATTTAGTTTAATTGGCTTTCTAATTTCCATCATTTCTTTTTTGGCACAGGGGTCATTTTATAAGTAAATTACTTCATTTCCAAAACTTTGAAATTTCCTAGGTATCTTTTTTTGTAATAGGTTTCTAGCATGATTCCACTTTGTCCAGAGAATTTTATATTCTTTATTTTTTACAGCAGTTTTAGGGGCTGGGTGCTGTGGCTCACGCCTGTAATCTCAGCACTTGGGGAGGCCGAGGCGGGTGGATCACTTGAGATTAGGAGTTGGAGACAAGCCTGGTCAACATGGTGAAACCTGGTCTCTACTAAAAATACAAAATTAGCCAGGAATGGTGGTGCAGGCCTGTAGTCCCAGCTACTTAGGAGGCTGAGGCAGAAGGATCGCTTGAACCTGGGAGGAGGAGGTTGCAGTGAGCCAAGATCACACCATTGCACTCCAGCCTGTGCGACAGAGTGAGATCCTGTCTCAAAAAAAAAAAAAAAAAAGAAAGAAAGAAAAGAAAAGAAAAGAAAGAAAAGAATAGTTTTGGGTCCACAGCAAAATAGAGCAGAAGGTACAGAGATTTCCCAAATACCCCTACCCTCACACACTCATGCATCTCATTATCAGTATCTCTGCACCAAAGTGGTACATTTGTTCCAATTATTGAATCTGCATTTACACATCATTATCACTTAAAGTCTATAGTTTAGATTAGGATTTACTCCTGGCCTGGTGTTGTACATCCTATGGTATGTGACAAATGTAGAATGATATGTGTCCGTATCTATATCCTATAACTCTGACATAGGAGTTAAAAAGAAATGACTCAGGCAGAGAGTGAGGGTATGGAAGTCCTCAGTAAGGTTTTCCTTTTAATGAAAATCAGCCCCAAATCATTTTCCTTCCTAAGAAAGGTCAGCCTGAAAAGTCAGGCTGCAGTCCTAGATGCTGGCAGTTGTGCCAATCATGTTCAAGATGGCGGCTCCATCTTCCTTCTCTTTGCCAGCCATGTGTGTAGTAAGGAGCAGACAAGATGGTGCTGGCCAACAGGGAAGCCCATTTGCATAATAAGATTAGGGTGGGGTGGTCAGTCTTCCCTGTGCACAATGTAAATATCATACCTGATTGAAGCAATCTGTGGGCCCTATGTACATGACACACCGCCTTCTCAAGTCGGCCTATAAAATCTGGCGCACTACCCACCAGCTGGTCTTTCCTTTCAGAAGCCCCTCTCTCTCACTAGAAAGAGAGCTGCTCTCTTTTCTCTCTCCTTCCTTCCTTCCTTCCCTCCCTCCCTCCCTTCTTTCCTTCCTTCCTTCCTTCCTCCCTCCCTCTTTCTTTCTCCCTCTCTCTCTTTCTCTTACTTTTTAAGACAGAGTTTCACTGTTTTGCCCAGGTTGGAGTGCAGTGGCACAATCTTGGCTCACTGCAACCTCTGCCTCCTGGGTTCAAGAGATTTCCTGCCTCAGCCTCCCAAGTAGCTGGAATTACAGGTACCCACCACCAAGCCTGGCTAATTTTTGTATTTTTTAGTAGAGATGGGGTTTTGCCATGTTGGCCAGGCTGGACTTGAATTCCTGACCTCAGGTGATCCGCCCGCCTCGGCCTCCCAAAGTGTGGGATTACTGGTGTGAACCACCACGCCCAGCCCCTTTCCCTTTCTTTTGCCTATTAAACCTCCATTCCTGAACTCCTCGTATGTGTCTGTGTCCTAAATCTTCTTGGCATGAGATGACAAACCCCAGACAATGATGCTGCTTCACCTCCATAGTACCATAGAGAGTGGTGTCACTACCCTAAAAATCCTCTGTGCTTTGCCTGTTCTTCACTCCCTTCCCCCTCCTTCTGGCACCCACTGATTTTTTTACTGTCTCCATAGATTTCCCTTTTCCAGAATGTTATATACTTGGAATCATTCTCCATCCCTTTACTTTTGATCTATATGTATCCTTATATTTAAGGTAGATTTCTTATTGACAATGTATAATTGGGTCTATTTTTTAATCCACTTTGACAATCCTTGCC